CTGTGCTCTGCCCACGACGAGTATCGAAACCCGGTTTCTAGCGTTGTAAGTCCACAGACATACCGCTGTGCCACTTGGGGACAGTTGGGGTTTTTTGCTGATGTACTTCATATAAGGAATTGTAGTGGTGATATGTTGCTTTAAGATTTGAATTTTTAATTTTGTTTAATATTTTTGTATGATTTGACTGTTTTTAGAAACTCCTTTTGGAAGGCTGTTTTTTTAATGAAGATTTCAGAAATTCTTTGTAATTCATCGACTAAACAGTTTGCAAAGTATGTATTATATGCTATTTGAATACTTCACCTCAAGGTTTCTAGTTTCTATTGTGTGGAGTGCGCGGATTTCCAATTGAGGTAGTATTCGGATTTTATTGCTGTTTCGTGAATTTTAGCCTCAAATATTGATTGTTTTCTTACAATGTGGACGTTTAGAATGTTTATAGAGAAATGTTCTTCGTTTTCAACTCTAAGATATATATATTCGGATGTATGTCGTTGATATGGTTAAAAGTCTTTCTTTTCCTTGATCAGGAAACATCATCGTTATATCTCAACCAATATGAGAGTTTGGGGATGGCTGTGTTTATAGCCTGTTTTCCAATTGAACTAAAAATGTGTTTGCTCGTAAGATTGATAGTGACGTCATCAATTTGACAATAGGTGATGTTGTCGAATTTCAATTTGGGGATGTGTAAATTTTGCGATTTAGGTCTTTGATAATTATTGTAATAGCAAAATGTAGGCTTCGTCTCTTGGAATTTAGGTATATAGATTTGGCATATTAGAACTTGCCATTTTGTATTTCGGATCCAATTTTGTTAAGAAGTTAATAAAACGTGTGGTGTTTTGATGGTGTTGCCCGAGTCGTTTCATGCTAAAATAACTTCGATCAGATATTTGTGAAGATTATAGTTAAATAAAGAATAGGTTGACATTATGACATCGTGGAGTTGAGAAGTTTTACCAAAGAGCTCAGGGGTTATGCAGTCTTCTTTTTCAATGGCTTTTAGTAGCTTCTATATATATATTATAGCTTCTTTTATATTTCGATAGACTGTTGAAGCTTTCAACCAATTTTGAATAATTAGCTGAGTCACTTAATAATTCACTCGTTACTCAGATGCTCTCTGTTATATTCATTAAAACGATATTTTGGTTTTTATATATTTTTTCATGATTAGGTTGGGGTTATTACGTAGCTATTATAATTCAAATATTTGTTTTTATAACATTTTGTTTTATTTTACATGACATTGAATTTTTAAGATTCTTTTTTTATTTGGTGGAGAATTCTTCAAGAAATTATTTGATGGAATCCGTTGTCAGTTTTCGGATACACTTTAGTAACCTGTACAACCGTGAAAAAAGGCTTGCTGTTGTGTTGGGTGTCTGAATTTTTTTGTTTATACTATTCGGTTTGTTGATAATTGGAGTATTTTTGTTCTTTTGAATTTGGTTTACTTTCAAAATTAGTTTCCTGCTTATTTCTTAATTAAAACCCATTTGTATGTCAGTTTTAGGTAGTTTAGATGGCGTTATGGTAAAGTTTAGGCTTATTTTAACACATGCAATTTGATGTTCGTAAAGTGGAATCAACAAACAGAAATATATATACCTCAAGAACGAAGTTTTATTGTAAACATGCATGAA